CTGCGGCGGCTCCTCTGCAGCGCTTAGCCGGCTTGGCTGTGCGGCTGGGGGATAAGCCTGCGCTCTAATATGTCCTGATGCCCGTCCGTTTTCTCCTGGAGTGCTACGCGGTGTGCTTGTGTTGGTGGGAAGATAGAGAAGCAGGCTACTTTATCTTAGCCTCGTTACTGCTGCTTTTTATCTGCATGCAAAGAAACCTGGTGGAGGGTTAAGATTCCTCTGCATAGCTTCAGGGTTCAGATCTTGAATCTTGCTTTGAAATGGGTATCAAACTTCCCAGTAGCTGTGCTGACCAAGCAGTTTTTTTTCTTATCACTGTTTCAGCCCCAAGATGAAATAGAAGTTGAAGATGGGTTTAAACAGTATGATGGTAAGGCTTTGCTACAGTGTTATCAGAGTGTAACTCAAAAACTTGAATTATTTTGATCCTTTATGTGCACTTTTTTGTACTGAGTCTTCTTACTAGATGATGCTTAATTACTGCTTAATGATAGCTGTCTGTTTTGCCTTAGTGATTAGTGCATTAGATATGGAAGCTATGATGAATACCATAAACGCTTGGATAAAAAACCCAATCAAGTTTGAACGCTCTCATGGGATCAACAACACACTGGATGCCCAGATCTTACAAGATAAGGAGGGAGGAGATGAAACAATCCACATTCTTATTGTTGAAGGCTTCCTGCTTTACACCTACAGGTAATCAAGTATGACTTTATACACTTTGATTTTGACAAAATTTTGTGTGACTTCACATGACAGGTAAACCTCCAAGGGAATAAAAAGACCTGTTCTAAACCAAGAGTTAGCAGCTAGTATTGACTGCTGGTGAGTTTAGGTGTCACAAGTCTGAAGATAGCTCTAGATACAGGAAACAGATGTAGTTCTACTGTTCCATTACTTGCTGCTAATCAAACAGTCTAGCTGTAACCAATGTGTGTCTCTTTCAGGCCACTGATTGATGTGTTCCACCATCGATACTTTCTTTCCATTCCATATGAAGAGTGCAAAAGGAGAAGAAGGTAAGTTTATCTTTCTAAGTTCCCTTGCTAGCCCAGTAACATCTTAATCTGTTTAAGACTCTTCTTATCTAAAAGCTTTAGACAAACAAGGATAAACACTGATGTAGCTGTTGTGTTAGAAGACTGTAACTTCCTTCACCAAACCAGCCCAAAAGCTTCCTACCAAACCATTGGCTATGGGAGACTAATGCTCAGTGCTGGGTCAGCGCAGATCTTTCAACAGGCTTTCTGCCCTTCTGGTTTTCCAGTGATACGTTCCCAGGCCTTGAACTATCCTGGGGTTTTGTGTTTGGCTGTTTTGTTGTACACATACACGGTTCTTAATGCAAATGAAACATGTCAAATTGTAAAAGTTACCTTTCAGAGGAATAAGCAGACAGCTATTTTACCCAAGTTCTGCTAAAGCTTTAAGAGGTGGCTATTCGTCAATGTTAAGATCAGTCTGTCTTAGGAGTCCTTTCTGCATCTTTGAACAGTTTGGACCCTCGCATCAAATCTGTCACTTCCCTGAACTGTAATCAGGCTACTCTTGAATAACAATGTCTTAATTCTTAGTTCAAGGAATTACACTGTACCAGATCCACCTGGATTGTTTGATGGGCACGTTTGGCCTATGTATGTAAAGCACAGGAAGATAATGGAAGATCTTGGAGTTGATGTGGGTAAGTCTTTAATGACAAAAGCACTTCTGAAAGATTGCTTTATGAAAGTGCTTTTCAAACCTGGGATATACATACTGCTTTAAGTGTGTGAGAGGAGTTGAACAGGTGGATGGAGTATATTTCTCCGATACCAGCCAAGTGCATGCTCTTTAAATTAGGATCTGGCAGGCTTACAGAAACATTCAATTAGAGCTCTCTTATTTTTACTTTGCTTTAAGTGCACTTGAATGGAACAAAATCAAAGGAGGAGCTGTTTAATGATGTGTACGGACAGATCCAAAATAAGATTGAAGAATTACTTAACATGCAGGTACATGTTCATGCTTTCTAACTGCAACTCAAAGGCAACCCTTTTAAAGGCTACATTGAAAAAGCACAAAGCTGTAACTTGAAATATGTTCATGTATATCTTTCTGTTTAGAAATAAGCTGCTGCTGATTCTTGTGAGTGAAGATGATTCCTGTTTGCTCTGCGCTGTCTGCCTGACTGCCACTAAAGTTCCAGCTTCTGTGAAGACTCTCAACTCTTAAATTTGACTTTGTTCATATGGTCATAATTAAAAAGCACTTCCCCCTGGTCTGTCATCTTAATTTGTGCTTCAACCTAGTATGTGGCTTCAGATGATCTCCATCTTATCCCCATCTCTAGTCAACTGGGAATTCTTTTCACTATGTTCTTAGTGCGAGTGTAAAACATTATAGCAGAACTAATGTGAAATGGCACAACTATCCTAGGAGAGTATATACACACACGTACTGCTTTGAATTCTTTCAATAACTTGCATGAATTTCTATAATCCATCTAACTAGGCAGCAAATATGCTTCTTGATGAAGAAATCAGGATTGATTTTGCTTTTCAAAAATGAGGGAATAGGAAGTTTTCAGGCCATTTTACTAGCATTGAATTATTGTTAAATCCAGTGCACGTGTTCATCTCAGATGCAGACAATTCAGTTTAGAGTTGGGAAAAAATTTTACATATACAATAGCTTTAAAATTGATTGCTCTAGAAGATTTCAGTAGTGTTCTGTAGCTTAATACAAGTTCAAACTCCTGGGCATGTACAGAAGTAGTTTAAGGCCTTGGTTTACATAGAAGAGCACAGAAAAAGCACATGAAAGCTTAATCCCTAGTAGGGGGGAAAAGTGAATTTAGGACAAAAGCTTTATTATTAAAAAAAAAAGTCTCCTAGGTGGTCCAAGAGGGAAGATATGTATTGATCTATTATGAGACCAGTCCTTTTTCTTCAAAAGGGTTTGACCAACGCTGAGAACCAGCAGTTACTTCAAGCCCAGATGCATTAGCTTCCTGACAGGAGCTGGTCCTCCCCAGTATCCCCTAGAAAAAGAGAAAGTTGTTTCATCAAGTTTTATGGACATGCTATCAAAGTAGGGTTTGAGGGGAATGTTTTTGTTTTACTGCCATAAGATACCATACTTGCTAAGAGATGAGTGTTAGGGGTTTGCTTTGGGAATCATCTTTGCTTCAGTCAGGTTTTTAATTGGGCAAGGCCTGTCCTGTGCAATTCAACCCTCCTCTGCTCAAACAAACCCCTGTTAATAGCAAAGTGCCCAGAATCCTCTGAAAGTCAACATCTTAATGATGACTAAGAATGCACTTCCTTGGCTTCTATTCTACTAAGGAACTAAGCCAGAACAGGTATCTGTACCTGGCTTTTTTCTGAAGGATCACAGCAGCTCTGCCTGCTCAGAATTGAAATACTTACTTAAGTAGTCCATTCCAATAGAGAAACGGCATCATATCAGCCTTCATATGGTACATGGTTACTCTCTCCTTACTCTGGTCAATGGGAAAGGTCTCCAAAGGCTGAGCATGGTAGTCAAATTCTGCTAGAATCACCTTGTTGTAGCCTGTTACTAGTGGGCAGGAAGTATATCCATCATACTGCAACAAAGAATACACCCTTTTCATTAATCTGAGTAAAGTCTAAATGCTGAGGTATTACAGGCCATGTTAACATTCATATGTTAAAATAACAAACAGGAGGTTTCTGCATTTGTAGTGTTACTATCAGCATGTGTGGAAGGCTAAGCCAATTATGGTTTAATAATCGTAATACTATGCCATTTTATTACAAATATAGACTGTAGATTTGCTTAACAACATTGCTTAGATTGGAACTAAGCTAGAACAATAGGGCTTTGTATCATTAATTGCTCATTACTGTTGTAACCAGCAGAACAGGTGACCAGTAGATCAGGATGAGAGCTGGTGCTGGCTTTAACAGACAGTATATAAATGGGCTCTTGAATCTAGTTGCAAGATTTTCCAGAGGATCACAGGAGCATGGATGATGCTATTCAAGTTAGTACCCCGAAGAATATTAATTCAGAAGCCATATGTAAAATGAAAGCCAAGTCTCAAAGAGAAATATGAATGTAATTATAGGCTTAACATCTTCTGTAGTACAAAATCTTCAATTTAACTCCTTAAAAGATCACATTCTGTACAGGGGAGGCAAGTTTAACATTGTACAGATGTGTCAAGTTTGTAAGGGTTTTCCTAGAGTAGGGATTATACTAGTCAACAGTTTTACTCTAAGTCACCTGCATTGGTGAAGAACGCAGACTAATCAGCCTTTAAACTTCTTTCAACTTAGAAGTCAGGGAATTAAATAGGTAATACTTTTAACAGCAGCATCAAGAATATGAACTGTGCAACTAAATTACTGTTATGACATACAGTATTTAGCCATTTAGCACCCCAACTGCAATGCAAAGCCCTTCCTGCCTTCGGGTTCACATGGTTTAGCTGGTTGCAAGACTTCCTGCATAAGAATGGAGAAAACATTCAAGATAACCTCCCTAAGACAAGATCTGTAGGTACCTTTTTAGTTGGCAACTGGTTCTTCATTACTAGGGAAATAGTTTTATCAAGCACTCCAGACTGGGCAGCTACAGAAGAGAGAAAAAAAAGAGTGTATTAAGGTTTTGTTTCAGGCAGCAATTATTGCCATTACTAGAGCAAACACTAGTAGCCAGGCATTTTGTTGGACAACTCAGCTATAATTGAACTTGCATATCAAATCAGTTTGGGAAGTTTACAGTCCCAGATAAGGAAAAAAAATAAAATCTTGGAATAATGCTTTGGCCTCACAGTTTCCAACATGCTAAAGCTTAATGAAACTTGAGCTGTATGCTTTTAGCCTGTGCTTATTCTCTTATGCTAAACTATACTTGCTCAGTCTTCCCAAACAGTAAGATTCTGGCACACTGAAGTTTTGTTTCATTTTGAGTGCTGTAAGGGAAGTATTCTAGACCCATTTGCCGGAATAGTTGACTATACCATCTTCAAGTTACACTAATAACATACTCTACAGCCTTTCTTTTTTTCTATCCTCTTATTTGCTTTATTTTTTGAGTTGTGACCATATGCCTACAGCGTTTTTGTATCAGACCCTGTGGCTACAAGTACAGAATGTATGATTCTTCAATAGTGACTTATCAGTTAGCTGACACATATGCGTGAGCTGCTAAGATAGAGCAGAAAGTTTTGTTACTGAATGATGACGAAATGCAATAGTATGCTCATTTTATGCCATTCTGTGAACACAGAAAATAGAATTAGTTCATTTGTGAGGCATTTGGAACAAGAGAACTGTGGGTTAATGGCATCAGCATGGTCTGTAGCTAATTAGTTGGCGCAGGAGACTTAGGTCTTTTTGAAAACTGGAAATAATTGAAGTCAAGACCTCAGAAGTAACAAACTAAATAAAAAGCTTACTGTCACTCCCACACTTTTCATTACACACACACATGCAACTTTACCTACAGCTGCAGCAGTTTTCGATGTTGGAAGGTTGGTGCAGTCTCCAATACCAAATACATTAGGATACTTTTTGTGTTGTAGAGTTTCCTTATCTACATCCACCCAGCCAATTTCATCTGAGACAGGACTGTTGATGAGTACATCAGGTGGCCCCATTGGGGGTGTGACATGAAGCATCTCATACTAGACAGAAAGAAAAGGCACTCGATGGCTAATTTATCAGAGCAAATCATACCTGTGTTGATATAAGGAAATGAACACAGCCTGGAGAGGGATTTTCTTGGGTTTTTTTTGTGGGGTGGGTTTGTTTTGGTTTTTTTAAAACCACAAGTATATAGTATGAAGATGTGCTCTCAAATTTGAAGTGCATCCTTTTATTAACATGAATCTTATCAGGCAACTCCATTTAGACTTGCATGACAGCAATTTGCCTTCCTCCATATACATCTGAGACATTCCCAAGTTATACTAACAAGGCACAGAGGGCTCCAGGCATAGTTTATGAAATATTTTTTTCTTCTCTCTACGTTGGTTTCAAACTTTCTAATCTTCTGCCAAAGTCAGA